CTGCGCGCCGAGGCGGAGGGGCGAGATCCGACATCGAGTCGGATCGAGGGGGCGCCTGCGGGGTACCATAGGAGCTCGCCCACAAGAAACCTTCCAGAGGAAACCCAATCCCGAGACACCGGGACGTCCACTGTTCCCAACCATCCTGTGGTGTTGGGCCCTCGCCTGGAAGAGGCAGCGCCCCGCGGTCCTCCTCCTTTTCCCCTCCCCCTCCTCCCTCCTCCCTCCTTCCATCCCCTGCCGCTGCCCTCCGCATGTCTCTGTTTCGGCACACCTCTCACACGGTTCGTGGCCTCATAGGGAACTCCACCGAAGGCCCCAGTAGCAGGGTTCGCATGGCGCCACCGCACACCTTTCGGCAGACCCCTCACACGCTTCGTGGCCACATAGGGGGAGCTCCCCCGAAGGTCACAGTGGCAGGGTTCGCATGGCGCCACCGCACCCATGTCGGCATACCCCTCACACGGTTCGTGGCCCCATAGGGAGCCCCACCTCGCATGGCGCCACCGCACCCATTTCGGCACACCCCTCACACGTTTCGTGGCCACATAGGGAGCTCCACCGAAGGCCTCAGTGGCAGGGCAGTGGCAGGGTTCGCATGGCGCCACCGCACGCCTTTCGGCACACCCCTCGCACGCTTCGTGGCTCCACAAGGGGGCTCCACCGAAGGCCCCAGTGGCAGGGTTCGATGCGGATCGTGGCCCCACAGGGGGCTCCACTGAGAGCGGGGCTCACAACTGCGGTGCTCACAATTTGCATATGGTTGGGTCCTTCGCCGCAAGGATAACTCTTGGCGTGGGAACGTCATGCTGTCCATAGCAAAGCCATCGAAACCCAAGAAACCCAGGGCACCCTGGAGGCAAGCAGGGTGTTTCTTGGCACACTGTATCTCTTCCTCGCCATCGCTTGGACGTCCATTCCCCGTGCACTCCTCGGTCTCGTGCGCTTGTTCTTCGCACGATGGTCCAGGATGCTACTCGATGGTCCCCACCGAGAAAAAAGTGCACACGTCCGAGCGATGCCAGGCTCCTGGCGGCGCGCACCAGGGGGCAGCGGGGGAGGGGGGGGAGGCTTCTTCGAAGGAGGCTGCGCCGCCCTGGTGCCCTGCGCGCCGGCATGGAGGGGCAAGGTCCGACACCGAGCCGGACCGAGGGGGGCGCCTGCGGAGCGTCTCTGCGGGCGGCGCGCACGAGGATGGCGGCGGCGGAGGCGCCGCCAGGGAGGCCTGGCGCCCCATCCGAGACATCCGCGCGGACCTCCGAGGGTTTGTGTCCATGGAAGGGGCCCTGGGACGTGCAGAGAAATGGGCGCAAACAGCAGGATTCCCCATGTTTCCCCATATGTTCTGGGTCTTCGATCTCCCCCCCCATTTCCCAGAGCTTCCCGCATTGTCCTGGGGAGTCGACGATGAGTTGTGCCTGCCTGCGTGTTTTTTCCCCTCCTGGTCCGTGCCGTCTCCTCCTCCCTGGAGGGCACCCGGGGGCTCTCCTGCTCGCTGCTGCCTCCGCCGGCCTCCCCGCCTGGTGTGAAGTGCGGTCTGGGGCCGGCGGCGCGCACCCGGCCGGTGGGGGGGGGGGGGAGGTTGTATCCCCGCCCCCTGGAACATATGGTTTTTCTACTTATGACCTACCAATTGGATCCTGTGGATTTGAGAGGGGAACGCTGTGAGGGCCCCTCCTGTCTCGCAATTTGGGCATTCGCATCGTCGTCGTCATCATCATAATCATCAGCTTCATCATCATCATCATCATCATCATCATCATCCTCATCATCATCATCATCATCATCATCATCATCAGCATCATCATCATCATCGTCATCATCATCATCATCATCATCATCATCATCATCATCATCATCATCATCATCATCATCATCAGCATCATCATCATCATCATCATCGTCATCATCATCGGCGTCATCGATATCATGACCACCACCATCAGCATCATCATCACCATCATCATCACCATCATCATCGTCATCGTTAGCATGATCATCATAGTTATTGTTGTTCTGCCTGTAATACGCATCTATGTTCAAGTTTTCTTCTGCGGCCACGCTTCAGAACCGTCTTCGGCCATGGGCAACCTCCGCAAGGGAACCAAGGCGTACAAGGACAAACTCGACGCTAACAACGAGCGGCGGGCGAAGATACGGGTGGAGAAGTTTCTGAAGCAGGAGCGGACCCGAGAGGTCCTACTGAAGGCTGGGCGCCAAGCTGCTGCGAAGCTGCGGGCGCAGACTCTCGAGTACCGACGGCAAGCCGACGACTTGAGGACAGGCAACATGGAATCGTACCAGCAACAACTTGGCGGCACGTCCGTTTCTGTGCTCCCGCGAAGGGCGACCGCCTTTCGAACCCGCTTATTCTCGCCAGGCCGCACTCCTTCGTTTGCGGGGCATGCAGAATCTGACGCGCCGCCTTGTATGTGTTGTCGGTGTGTATTATGTTGCGATAGGAGACGGTCAAACAAGCACTACCGCGACAAGGGCGCGGCGGAGGCAAGCCTGAAAGCCTTGACGCGGCAGAGAGACCAGCTGCTGCAACAGAACCGGAGGCTGACGGACAAGCTCGCTGCTGCCGAGAAGAAGGCGGACGAGCGGGAGAGAGACCAGCTGGCGCAGCAGAACAGCAGGCTGACGAAAAAGCTGGCCGCCGCTGAGAAGAAGGCCAACGAGCTTGAGGGTGCCACCTCTGAGCTGCGCTTCTGGAAAAGGTGGTGGGCCAGCTTCAAGAGCTGGGCCCCCGACCACCTGCCGCGGAAACTCGCAAAGCGAGTTTTTTGGTTGGCCGAAAACGGCCCGCCGAAGGAGCACGCTAACGACTGGGGCTGAACGCAGCCGCGCAGCTGCAGACTTAAAAAAAGCAACAACACAAACAGACGAAAGCGACGGCGACGGCTGAGGGAGGAGCGGGAAAGGGCGCCCAGGGCCCCAAAACGTTACCAATGTATTCTGCTTGAGGGCCCGTGATGTTTCTGAGGGCATTTCAAAACAGGGATGCCCTCAACGCAGCGATGTTTGAGGATATGCCAAACAAGGGGCCGCCAGATAGTTTGGAGTGTTGTTGATAGGGGCATCCCAAACAGGGATGCCCTCAACGCAGCGATGTTTGAGGATATACCAAACGAGGGGGCCGCCAGATAGTTTGGGGTGTTGTTGATAAGGGGCATCCCAAACAGGGATGCCCTCAACGCAAAGATGTTTGAGAGGGCCCCAAACAAGGGTGCCGCCAAACATTTTGACATGTTGTTGGTAGAGGGTATCCCAAACAGGGATGCCCTCAACGCAAGGATGTTTGAGAGGGTCCCAAACAAGGGTGGTGTCAAACATTTTGGGGTGTCGTTGATAGAGGGCATCCCAAACAAGGATGCCCTCAACGCAGCGATGTTTGAGGGGGTTCCAAACAGGGGTACCGCCAAACAGTGTGGAGTGTTGTTGATAGGGGCATCCCAACGGGGATCAGGTAGCTCCGTAGCTGGCCTGGCTCAAGTTTGCACTAGCGCTCAATTGCGTTTTGCTTTCTTGCGCCAGAGCTTTGTTGTTTAGTCCGTGTCGTGATCCCATGACTTGATTGCTCGAGCTCCCTGTTCAGGGGCTGATGCGCATTCGCGTTTTCCTGTAATTCCTTTCACTTGAGTGCCCGCGCGCGTGGCTCAGCCGCGCCCGTTCTGCAGCAAAACGTAGTTGGAGGAAAGCCCGCCCGCGCCCTCTTCCGTTCTGCTGGGAGGGAAGGCCGCGGGCCGCTCAGAGACCCCAGGGCGCTCTGGAGAGGGAGGAGGAAAACAGGAAAAACATGAAAAACAAGAAAAACCTTGTGTGTTCACATGGAAAAACAGGAAAAAAACTTGAAAACGAGCGACAGTCATAGGTTTCGCTGGTTTTTTCCTGGTTTTCCATGTGAAAACACAAGTTGTTTATTGTGTTTCATGTTTGTCCTGTTTTCCCCTCTTCCGCTCTGCTGCGAGGGAGGGCCGTGGGCCGCTCAGAGACCCCAGAGCGCTGAGGGGAGGAATGAGGAAAACAGGAAAAGCAGGAAGAACATGAAAAAACCTGTGTGTTCACAGGGAAAAACATGAAAAAACTTGAAAAAGAGCGACAGTCAAAGGTTTCGCTGTTTTTTTCTGCTTTTCCATGTGAAAACACAGGTTTTTTATTGTGTTTCCTGTGTTTCCTGTTTTCCCCTCTTCCGCTCTGCTGCGAGGGAGGGCCGTGGGCCGCTCAGAGACCCCAGGGCGCTCTGGAGAGGGAGGGGGAAAGCAGGAACATGAGTAGAGAGAGAAATACAGATATATATAGAGAGAGAGAGAGAAAGAAAGAGAGAGAGCGAGAGCGAAGAAACTCAACAAAACTCTCACGCGACCCTTGTTCCAGGGGGCGGAGATACAACCCTTACGGGGGGGGGGGCTTCTTGGGAGGGAGGCTGCCAGGGGGTGCTTCTCACAGGGGGCCCAAAGAATATATACACCACCACCACCTCCCTCCTCCCCTCCCTCTCGCTGGAGAGAGGAGAGAGGAGGAATCGACGCAATGGTGGTGGTGTATATATTCTTTGGGCCCCCATCTAAGAAGCCTTCCCCCGTCTGCGCCTGGCTGACGTTTGTTCAGGGGCAACGTCTGCGGCAACTCGTGGGAGCATCCCAGGTCATCTTGCCGACGCTTGCGAGATCGACGCCAGCCGACACGAGTCGACGCTAATCGACGCCAGACGACGCTAAACCGACGCTACTCGACTCTACATCGGCAATTTCTCCTCGATTACCAGGCGCTAGCGCACGCTAGTACGCTCAAAGACGGGATTGCGAGGACACGCAAGGCTCCCATGAGTTGCTACCGAAGGCAACCACACGTGAGCCCTACCCCGGGAGGTCAGGCTTCTGAAAAACAGGCTGGGGCCACGAGTTTGAAGGATGCCTGCAGCCAGTCGAACCCTCTCTTTTTTGGCCTCGCGGTGAATCTGCACTGTGCTAGTTTGTTCTGGCTCCCCCACCTCTTGG